GGACTACGGACATATACTCATGGCCAACGGAACAGAAAGGACAAAACGATACGTACAAACAACAGAACAAATTGCACTAAGACTAATAACACGAATACCCCCAAAACCCACTGCACAACCCTTCCAACCAACTACTATACGAACGCACAAACATTACAAAAATTTCGGAAAGACTAATACACTTACAGACAAAATGGACAAACAACCCCCACAATTGGACCATACTGAATCCCCTTTGCCTCACAAGACCGACAAAACACTCCCGTTTTCGTTCCCCAACAGATACTTTACTAGAACACCTACAAACGCAACTGAACTAAGGACTAATATCTGTTTGTTTTGTAAGCCAGGAATTTTTACTTTTTTTTTATTTTCTTTGTATAGCTGATTAATTTATACGAACGTTAGGAATAGGAATTAATTTTAGAATAAGCTAGGCTAAGGCACGGCACATATATACTAAACAAGGGCAGAAAGACCGATTGGGTCGATAGCCTTTTTCTGTAGGAAATAAAGATTATTTATATATATGTACTGGGGTGGACACATCTTAACAAGTTGTTCTGAATCCGCGATTTCCATCAAAGGAAAAAGCACTTGTTTGAAGCACCCTGTATAGCTAAAACGCTTTGAAAAGCGACTCACCTGATACATTTTTTTGGTGACTAAAGTGTCCATAAACTCTGCGGATTGTGCGAAGTTTCTGGCTCCATACCAGGACGAGAGACTGGCGTTATTTATGATGGTGATATTGACCGTTGATTTGAATGGTCTCACCGAGATCAAATCGGTCAGCAGTCGGTCTCTCAGACCGGGAAGATCGGCCAGTCCTCCGGTTACCACCACTTTTGAAGCCAGCTTCAGTTGATCATCAGGGTTGAACAACGACAGCACGTATGCTGAAAGTTTTCATCATTAGAGCTCGTTTAGATGAAAAAGTCTCTCGACTTACCAATAACTTCTGAAAGGCCGGCTTCTTGACTGCCGATCATGTATGGCTTGAAAATCAGCTCCGGCCCCCGGAACATTTCCACGCCAATATGGAGCTGATGTGCTTCTCCCGGTTGCGAGCAGTCTCCCAGTTCCGATGGTTCGTGAGTTCGAAGGATTTCGTCGAATTCCAGCAGTTTCTCATTTTCCGCTTCACTGTCCGAGTCGCCGCCTGCAAGGATCCACGTAGAAATTTTTCCGGGAGATTTCTTGGAAACTTACCGTCTTTGCTGATTGTTTTGTAAATATCCCAGTCTTCGTCTCTCATCCCAAAATCGTCGTTTCCTTTCTCTTTTCTCGCTAGCTGTGAGATGATCCGCATTCTTTCCTGTCCTGCGGCCGTTCGCCGTTTGGCCATATCCTGCTTGCGTTGCTTCCTGACCATTTTCTTCGTCAAAATTTCCTGCTTCTGCAATAGGAGAACCAGTTGCCTGTTGAGCTTTCCGCTGAATTTAATTACCAGTTTCCTGACGTTTTGCACAAACACATACATTTCTTTATCGCTTTCGAAAGCCATTTTGGAGAATTTTGATTGTTTGGCTTGCGGCTCCTCCATTTCGTCAATGTTGCTTGATGCCGCGAGTATTTTCTGCTTGGTTTTCTCTATTTTGGTATTCAAAGTGAAGATGGTTTTTTCCAAGTCCAGCACGTTTTTTATTTGAAACTCCGTTAAAGTTCGCTCGATCTGTTTAAGCGATTTTCAGTGAAAGAAGAAGGCAGTCGAAAAGCACTCACTGTTTCCCGGTCTGCTCCCAGCTCGATCATTTCCTTGATATCCAACAGTTGTCCGATTTTTTCTTCATCTTCCGCTAGACGTTCTTCGCGTTTTCTGGCGTTTATTTCGATTAATCGTCTTGCTAGTTCTCTCTTCCTTTCCTTTTGTTGTTCCACTGCGAACACAGAAGAATCGCCAAAACAATAAGCCAGTTTAAAGATCCAACATCCTCACTTACACGTAACTGCAGAAGTGATGGTATTTACAGTAAAAGGAAGCTGGATTTTCTTCACATTGTTCTCATAGAACTCTGCATTGGCCCATTTCTTCAGTTCCTCGCGATAATCAACTGCCACTCTACACACATTGTGCAGCAGTTCTTCAGCTCGGCTCACCGTGATTGCGGTGGCATGCACTGGGTACTTTAGCTGCAACAGTCGATGTAAAAAGTTGACTATATGGAAGCCTCCTAAAAATGGCATAGAAACGACTCTTTTGAATCCATTATCGGGAAATTTTTACCCGTGTTAAGTCTTCGGGTATTTTCAAAGTTCGTTTGGTTATTCAAAACGGGAATGATGTGACAGCATTGGTAGCCCAGATTCACAATCAAAGCACTTTCCATTGGCTTATGATAATTGTGGTAGCCAAATATCGAGTCGATTCCGTAGCATATTCCCGGTACGTTGTAACATTCAAAGAGCAGCTCAGACATCACTGAAATGAAGGTGAAAGTATTTTTGGAAGACGGGTTATATGCGCTTTTTTGGAGAAAATCTTCGCCAAATCTCAGCAAAACCCCGTATTTCTTGAGCGTTTCCATAAAATAACGAAAAATCTTACATTGTCTGGATGTATTGGGATTCAGAACGGCTTCAGTGCACAGAATGGGATGCGGCACACAGTCTTCAGTATTTATGCCCAAATGACTGAAAGCGTAGTCCAGAAGATGCTCTTGCGCCTCGAAATGCGTTACCACATTTCGATCAAATTGAGTCTTCAACTGAAACCGCACCGCTTCAATGTTAACAATATCGTTGCCAACTTGTAGTTGGGGAGTCTGCGGTATTTCGATTGTATCTTTTTTCAGCCGTTCTCTGCGCGGTTTGGCTATTAGATTGCGGAATTGAATCAGGGGCTCACTGGAAGTGGCCCAGCCCACTCTGCATGTGTAAGAACCTACGAAAGCCCTTTTAAACACCTAAAACTGCCCGGGGGCTTCGCGCACTTACCATTGTCTATGATGATTGGAACTGCGTTTTTTTTCAGCTCTGGTGAGTAGGTATGGACAATATCCGGCACAGTTTTCGTGTCAATGAATTGCAGCACTTCCATTGCAGTAAATTCGGGGAAAATTGTAAAATACTGTAAACAAAGCTGGCAATTTATTGGTTAGGTGTCGTTGGGTCCTCTCGTTTTCTCATCCGCTGTGTTGAGGAAAGCAAACTGACAACGCTGGTTGTATATTGGACGGTGTTTTTTTAAATAATAAAGCGGCAAATTTGTGTTCCTTGTTCGTGCTGTTTAATAACTTTCTGTTGCAAAACTGCATCAATTTTTTTTAAGTCATTTCATTCCTGAAAGTTGATTGATAAAAGTACTTTTTTTTAAATGGCAAGTCAAGGAGACTAAAATCAGGATTTCTGGGTGGCCAAGCCGCGCTTCCGCTCCGTCAGGGTTAAACTGAGGATGCGGAAGAACGGTATCTGATCATTTACCAAACGTTTGCATAAACCACATGTTTTCATTGAATAATACGAACGCTCCTATAAATACACACAAGATGTTGATGTTGACTGTGGCTAGATATTTTTTTATTTAATAAAAGCCAGCAAACCCTGTATTTTCAACGAATTAATGTTTACATAAAAACAGGGTGCGGTAAGAATCTAGTTTAAAAAAAAGTAGATTAAAATGTGTGAATTATGCAGTCGATTCACGACCATTCTGATTCGGCAAAATTTTAGGGAACAAAATCTAATTTTCGCATATTTTTAGGGTGTTTCTATATACAAATCAATCAAAACCAAACTGGGAACATCAATTTCAAATTGGCGTTAATCAAATGCAAATTGACAGTAATAAAAAATCTTGTGCGTTTCAGTTTTAAGTTGACAATAATTAAAAGAGATAAAAATTAGTGAAAATAAGATGATAAGGCACAATAAATAAGATATGAATTAATTTAAACCATTAAAGAAGGTTTGAAACAATGGGAATGAAACAAAATTGAGTTGCAAATCCAGTTGTACAAGTCCAGTGGAAGATAGTGCCACGAATCGCTGCATGAGATCCTCTTTTGGGATCAGAACAGCCCGATCAACACCAGCCAAGATGTTTAGTCCTTGTAAGTACCAGACATGTCTGCTTTTATTTAATCCGGACTATGGTTGTTCAAAGGAATTGAAAATCCCGCACCACAAAAGTGTGTGATGGTCAAATTTCCCCATTTACAAACAAATCCATTGCAATCTTGTTTGTTCAAAGTTTTACGCTCTTCTGAAGCACTTTGTAATGTTCGCTTCTGCTTCTTGAAGCAAGTATTTCTGAATTCGGACTAATTTGGCCTCAAAGTAGTTGCATTAAAATGTGTGTATACATTCGTAAAAACTCGCGAGGCGCGCCTAAGCCGCGCCAAGTTCGAAGAGTGTGAGATCACATGCGCCCATTTGAAAAAAAACTCTTCAACATAGTTTGGTCAACATTTTGCGCTCTTCAGAAGCGCTGCTTCCATATGCGTTCGCTCCTGGCTTGTTGATACAAGCATTTTTGAGTTTGGACTAATTTGGCCTCAAAGGAGCTGCATTAAAAGGTGTGTATAAATGAGTAAAAACCCGGAAAAGTCGCGCCCATGCCGCGCCAAGTTCAAAGAGTGTGAGGTCAAATGCGCCCATTTGAAATAAACCTCAACATTGTTTGGTCAACGTTTTGCGCTCTTCAGAAGCGCTGCTTTACATATGCGTTCGCCCCTGGCTTGTTGAAACAAGTATTTTTGAGTTCGGACTTATTTGGCCTCAAAGGAGCTGCATTAAAAGGTGTGTTTAAATGAGTAAAAACGCGCAGAAGCCTTGCGAAGTTCAAAGAGTGTGAGGTCAAATGCGCCCATTTGAAAAAAAACTCAACATTGTTTGGTCAATGTTTTGCGCTCTTCGGAAGCGCTGCTTTACATATGCTTTCGCTCCTGGCTTATGGAAACAAATTTTTGAATTCGGATTAATTTGGCCTAAAAGGAACTGCATTAAAATGTGTGTATACATTCGCAAAAACTCGCGAGTCGCGCCTAAGCCGCGCCAAGTTCAAAGAGTGTGAGATCAAATGCGCCCATTTGAAAAAAAACTCTTCAACATTGTTTGATCAACGTTTTGCGCTGTTCAGAAGCGCTGCTTTACATATGCGTTTGCTCCTGGCTTATGGAAACAACTTTTTGAGTTCGGACTAATTTGGCCTAAAAGTAACTGCATTAAAATGTGTGTATACATTCGTAAAAATTCGCGAGTCGCGCCTAAGCCGCGCCAAGTTCAAAGAGTGTGAGGTCACATGCGCCCAATTGAAAAAAAAAACTCTTCAACATTGTTTGATCAACGTTTTGCGCTCTTCAGAAGCGCTGTTTTACATATGCGTTTGCTCCTGGCTTATGGAAACAACTTTTTGAGTTCGGACTAATTTGGCCTAAAAGTAGCTGCATTAAAATGTGTGTATACATTCGTAAAAACTCGCGTGTCGCGCCCAAGCCGCGCCAAGTTCAAAGAGTGTGAGGTCACATGCGCCCATTTGAAAAAAAACTCTTCAACATTGTTTGGTCAACGTTCTGCGCTCTTCAGAAGCGCTGCTTTACATATGCCTTCGCTCCTGGCTTATGGAAACAACTTTTTCAGTTCGGACTAATTTGGCCTAAAAGTAACTGCATTAAAATGTGTGTCTACATTCGTAAAAATTCGCGAGTCGCGCCTAAGCCGCGCCAAGTTCAAAGAGTATGTGGTCAAATGCTCCCATTTGCAAAAAAAACCTTCAATATTGTTTGATCAAAGTTTTCCGCTCTTCAGAAGCGCTGCTTTCCATATGCATTCACTCCTGGATTGTAGAAACAAGTATTTTGAGTTCGGACTAATTTGGCCTCAAAGTAGCTGCATTAAAAGGTGTGCATAAATGTCTCCAAGATAATGATGCATGGGATCTAAGAAACCGTACGAGACACCAAGTCGGTTACATAAGAAAAAAGAACGCTTTATTTTTACCGAATTCGTTAATGCCGGTAGTGCATGGCTGTTACTCAAAAATTATTTAGGCTTATGCAGGTTGCAAAATTAGGACCACAAGGTATTTTTCTGTTGTACCTGTTTCGAAGCGTTTAGACGCAATGACACTTTTTTCATACGGACGCCCCGTATATGTCAATCAATGTCAATAATAAAATCCAATAAATGTATAATTAGTTTATAGAAACTGGACGTTCCTATAGAATATTCTATGAATGCTCTTATGGAATTTAGAAAATATTTAAAGAATAAATTGCCTTATCTGGGAATGCTACTACTGTAGAAATAACAAAAAACTGAATGTATTCGTTACTGGTACAAACAGTCTTAAATAATGCCGTCACTGAGGAGCGGATCCAAGTCAAGTAGTAGAAATTCAGTCTTTTGTTGTCCACGAAATTAGAAAAATTCTCGTTAGTCGTTAAAAACACAACACAAGGGGGGGGGAAGGTCATGACCCCCCCTGAATCCGCCCCTGCCAAACAGCTTGAGACAGACTATACATACAGCTGGAAAAAATACGTTTACCTGCTCGCTCCTTATCTGGTAACTCATCAATATGCAGCTTTTTTGGAACCTCCGGTACGCTTGCGACATCAAACCACTCATTAGCATTGTTAAATGCACAAACACCCGCCCCCTTAAAAGTTTCGTTCTTTATACGAAGCACAAGGCATCGAGCCCGAAAATCCGAGATGGCAAAGCAATGAACAGTTAGATTGCTTCCTGCAATTTTGATTCTGATCAAAGGCACAATTCGAACGTGAAAAATGAAATAGGAAAAACAAAAACATTTTTTAAATTTTTTATAAATATATGTATAAGACATTTTACATTTGTACATTTACAAGTATCTACATATTTAGTTTTAGCAGTTTTAGTTGGAAATATGGAAATAGGTCTATTCAGGATATGGATAGTTGTAGTCGTGTTAACTAAACTAAGTGAAAGTTCTATAAGCGTCTCGGAACTAATAAACATATGAAAGCGTAGTTTTTCGAACCTAAAGCTAAAGAAAGTTTGTACTTGCGTCCGAGTGGTGAAAGTCAAGTTAATAAAAATAGATCTATTTAATGCTAAATTACACTTTTGACAAGTTTTATATTTGCAAACTACAAAGAAATGACTAGACGTCCAAATTTTCTGGGGAGAAAAGTTCATGTTGACTTTATTTCCAACAAAAAGCTGGTTTAAACAATAGTTAAAATCCATATTGCTTACACTATTGTCTATGATAGGAACGCTCGGACCGTGGCTTCTAAGGGTTTCCGACAAATTGCGCAATTTTTTAGAGCGGAAGAACACTCTACACAGGCAACAACGTGTCCACAAGGCAAAAAAACTACACCCACTTCATTCTTGTAACAGATTTTACAAAGGGTCTTCTCTTCGCATGTTTTGTCTTTCTCTGTCGATGAAGAGAAAGACAAAACATGACTAGAAGCAGCAACAGCTTCTTCGGCTTTTGCCTCTTTCGCACTTTCTTTGGTTTCGGACTCCGAAGAACTGGCCGAAGGTCGTGGGTTTCGCTTATCCTTAACTTCCTGAATGTATTCGGGCCCTTTCATCAGATACACGTAGGAACACTTGGGGAACCAAAGGGCGTGCTGCTCCCAAGGGCTGTCGTTCTGTTCCCAGTCTTTCAAGCCGCCACCACAGTGAAAGCAAATCGTTTGATCCCCAGTGCCGAGATAGTAAAATCCAGCGTCGGCCAACTCTTGGGGGGTCTGTTTCATGCTCTTTGGCCATGTGCCAAATGTAGCCCGTCGGGCTTCAAACGAAAATTTATCTGGATGAGCGGGACCTTTGTTTTTGTGAATGCCTAATCTTTCTAAATGGATTTCGTCTTCGGGCACTGAATTTGGCAGGATTTCTACCCCGTACAAGCCACAGGTGTCAGCAGCACGCGAACGACTATTAGTAGTACTACTACTACTACTACTACTACTACTACTACTACTCGAACTGGGCTCAACCGAATTCATTACAAAGGGACAAGCTGGGCTCCAAGTCCGATGATCTTTCAGAGGATCGTCTCCTGCCACCCAATGGTACCCCTCTATATAGCAGTACGCACACTGGACAATATCACTTTCATTTTTGTAATAGAATCCAGCCTTTGCCAGCACCTCCTTGGCGATCTCTCGGTTTGGCCAATTTGCGAATGTCCGCAATCTACCCGGATAGGACTTGTAGTCGGGCTGTGAGGAAGATGCCTCCAATAAGGCCAATGGAGCTTTATTGCTGTTGTCTGTCTCGCTTAGGTACTCCAGCCCATTGGCTGTTAACAGGTTTCTTTTGGGAAAGTTTTTGCTCTTTGCCAAAATTACTTGTTTTACAACTGTACTACTCATAATTCCAGCTTAGTCTCTGCCGATGGCCAGCAAACCTGCAGCAAAAAAAACTACGGTAAAACTCTGCTTGCCACAAACTCCAAACAAATACTTTCAGCAAAAAAATGCTGATCGTCCATAGAATCGTGCCACCAAACTTTTAGAATATTTTCATAATTATGCTAAACTTTGTGCAGCGTTGCCAGGTTGCATAAAAAGTTATATGCTAAATGAATGAATGTTTAATCAATTATATGTTGAATGAATATGTTAAATGGAATAGTATAAATTCATATTTTAAATTTTTCCAGGAAACCTTGACAAGTTTTAAAGAAAGGAAGTCAGGCAAGGGCGCCCAAAACAAGAAGAAGACGTATGGAACACAACCGTAATCATTCAGGGCGCTTAATGTTTAATTTTGTTTGTTTTTTAGATTTATGGACAAGCCGCAGCTTTTTACGTTAAGCACTGTTAACGTCACTGCATTGACGGCGAAATGGCGGATAATTAAATGGAAACCTGAAATTGGTGAAGTTTTTTCAAAGGCGGCATTTCATAATTTTTCATAGGTGTAGGGAGGCTTTTCAAAACCGTAAAAAATTCAAAAATAAATTGTATTACCAAAGTTGGAGACAGGAGAGAGAGTAGGACATAACAATCAAATATCGAGCCAATTTAATGCGTTATAATCATCATTGTTAATCAACTTCCAGCCGTTTTCCCTAGAGGACGCTTTGAATGTTAATTGTTTAAAAAATATATGTCCAGGAGTTTTATTTATAAAAAGGGATTATTGACATTTCACTTCCGGGCTTTCATTCAAGTAATAGTATTAATTTAAATATCCTACAAAATGGCTGCCGTACAAAAAGAATACTAAAATGTTAATTTTTTCCTGATTTTCCAGTGATTTAACTAGAGCTGATGAACTTTTCGCTGTGGGAACTGGCGGAAATCGATTACAGCGCTTTAGTACGCATGCGGGCGGCAATCAATTCTCGGTTTCCTATTGGAAAATACGCCAAACAGCTCAGCTGATGAATAAGCTGAACACTCAGCTGATCCTGCCACGTTGTCGGTTCAGTTCATTTATTCTTTGACGCTTTGGCAATTAATTAATTATTTTTAACGCAAAGAACCGGTTGGAAATTTGCAAAAAAAAATAATTTAATTAGCGAAATGGATCCCTCCAATATTGGCGAGGTGTGACGAAGTGCCGAAATCTGTCAACTGTGAAGTGAGCGTGAGAGAGTGGCAGCCTTCATGTGTGGCATTTTGAACACGTCGCCATGACAACCGGAAACTGATAACACAAACATGTGTCAAATAATCTGCCCGTTGCAATAACAGCAGCAGATAGCGATTAAATGAATGGAAAAAGCCAATTCCGAATAATCAATAACTGACTGACTGTGCAATTAGAAGTGAACATTGCCCAATGAAGAATAATGGTAAAATATGCGGGGCAAAATACAATAACCGTATAGCGGGGCCGACTTTCTTTATACAAAACGAATAACGAGCGTACATGTCGGCAATAATGGTTCCAGCCAGTACCAGGCCGGCACGGTGGTACCCGATGGTGAAAAAGGACGGCGACAACAGAGGAATTCAGAGACCATTCACGAGTTTCAACATTCCAACGTCCCGGGCCCCGCGAGACCCGCAAGACTCCAAACTACCAGCCCTACCACATTCCACAGAGATCACATCAATGACCGAGCAGCGGAAACTGAAAAAAGCAAGAGCCAAAAGACAGAGACGGAGACCCACACCGAGGGCCCTCCAGACGGTTTCTTAGAAAAGCCGGTATTCCTACCTACCACAGACTGGCAATCTGAAATCGACCTTATGGCATTCACGAATTTCAAATATGCCCGGGATTCAGGTATTTGTTTAATAGATACTCTGATCATTAGACGGGCCGAATAGAAAACAAGGCTACGACATATGGTTGATAATGGGTGCTCCTAATGAGCCAACCTACTTCGATTTCCATCGTTTCCTAGCCGAATCTATTCGCTATTCTACAAGCAAATGACTACTGACCTTAAACAAGACTCCAAATTGGGTTTTTGCACTAAAAAATCATTCCGAATTGATGGAAATTTGAAATTTTGAGTGACACTGCACAGCGTTACCAGACGACACAAACAGCACAACGATCAGCGCCAGTCTGCCAGCCAGTCGAGTACGCGGGCAACGTTGCCAACTCGCCGAAGGATAGGCCGCAAACTCGTTTCCCCGACCAATTTTCTCTTCGAGAACATACATTTGGAGACCACACAATTTATGCTACAAACACGCCATTTTCCTGCAATGAACAGCAATGGGAAACTGGTGAATTTTTCCGGCTTTCAGGCTGTAGCGAAAACAATTTTGTCCAGGCGTTTCCCAAGCGCGAGTGGCCTGCATCCTCAGAGCTGGTTTCAAGCAATGCCCGCAACAGCCTCTATTAAAAACAGCAAATTGGACAAGAATTCAAAAAATCCAGGTGACATCTGTCAGTGGAAAAACCGTTAGCAAAATGGCTGAATTAAAACGGATTATGTGCTAATTGAAGCAAAGCCACCTTGTGCCCCATCTTCCCAAGTAAGCACGTTCGAAAAACTCCCCAAAAACACACATCCTGAAAAACTAGCCTCTAAGAGCCAATATTCACACGAAAAAATTCCCAGATGCACCTTCAAATACCTGAATCCTTCACGTAACCGCTTGAACTGAGAAGCAAAACATCGAAAATTCCAAAAAAAATGTCCCTAATCCCCCTGAGCTAGATCATTTTTTTGGCGCCCTAGTGTCCGGCAACGTTGCAAAAAATGGTTCTTTAAATTTACTATTGGCGCTTCGGTAGTGGCGCTAAATTTCCGACGATGGGTTTTTGGATTCTGGCGGGAATTGGGGTGTTAAAGGGACCGCACTCTATGAATGAATAAAATCAATACGAACCGTGCCTTGAATGGTACCAAGGTGGTACTCGGGAGGATCAGTCGGATATACCAATAATCCGACAAAGAAACGAAAGGGGAGGGTTTAAAAACAGCCAAGTGAATGGATTTGTCACAGATACTTGAAATAGCATAGTACTGATATGATGAAGGTTTTTGTTTAATGGGTCGTGTGATTGAAATTGGTACAAGGTGCAGGGTACTTACGTAGTTGGGGTTGCACAGGAACTCGTATTTTTTAAATCTGCAATACGCAATGAATTAAACTTTTTTATTGTAACTGTCGCTCTTACGCTCGCACAGAATACTGAACTTTAGGTGAACTTTCCTAACCAATTATAGAAAATTTAGATTGCGCAGCGCGTATCTTAATCAGATTATGCCAATGTTTACGCCGGTTTATGAGCGTTTAATCAGGGCTTAAGCAGAAACAAATGAAACAACATGAGCCTTGATGCAATTTCTGTAACTTTCTTAACATCCCAGAAATTCTCTTCCAACATCAAGACCTGGTCGTACTGAGGGTCATCAGAAGTACCTTTAACTCAATTGCATGAGAAAACTCACTAATATAAAAAATACTCTTCATATTGAGGACTTGGGGAAGATACTAGAAGAATGTTAACAGTTAAAGTTCAAACAATCCACAGATTTAAGCAGCAACTTACTGGAAGCAGAGTTAACGCCCTAAGAAAATCAGCAAACAACCTGCACACAAAATCATCCAGATATGCTGAGCTTCACAGAGGAAACTTTGGAACGGCTATTGCCCAGAACTAGAAGAGTAACTTTTCCAGCTTTAGCTTGGCTTTATTCGCTCAACCCTGAAGTACACACACAATGGAATCGAATGCACATAAACCCGAGCAAGTGGATGAATGTCTTCCGAAACCTTCCATGCCTTGAAAGCCACTTTTGGATGAATTTGGAATTTTGGAAACACCCTTTAATACCATCATCAGTTGAAGTAATGGGGATTTTTTCACTCAGTTTAAAAAACAGTAAATTTTTATAAAAAAATGATCTAAAGCGCGAAAGTTCATCCGTAGGATTTTTGGTCAGAATCTTTTTCGCGCCAAATTTATGGACTTAAAATTTCTTTACAATGGGGAAATTTTGACACTTTTTAAGGAAATAATATAAAACCTTATTTTTCACCTTAGATCGATGCCAACTGCATATTTTAGTGATTCTCTTCTGTTATGAAAGTTTCTTTACTTTTGAGCCTCATTCCCAATTTTTTGGGGCGATGCAGCAAAAAACGTCAAGAGACAGAAAAGGCGTATTTGGAAGTTGCTTAATCCGAAACGAAATGAAAAAAGTTGCAAAAATCTAGTTGCAAACTTTTTTGCAAAAATATTTAGTTACGACCACCATTTGAACATTCTGTACCCAAGATTTGGAGAATTATAAGAAATAATTGGAAAAGTGCCAAAAGATCAAGTGCAACAATCGCAATTAGAAGCTTCTTTTGAAAGAACAGACCCTGGAAATTTCTGGAGAATTACCATTTAAAACGTTCAGCTGATTGATAAGGTTAATCAAAACACGATTTTCCCAGCAAAACATGAATGATTTTTCCCCGGCTTGAGACTCGAATCAAATGACGCGAGTGACAAACAACAATAGACAAACCTGTTAACAAAGTCAACAGGCAGAATCATTCTCAAACACCCTGTACATATTATAACAGTCTTGATTCAGGCCAAATTTCATAAAATCTTAGCTAACAATGTTAGTGAAATCGTTGTACCCGGTGCGCCAAACACTTAATTAGAAAGTTCCACTGGTTAATTGCAAGAAATTGAGAACGTTTCAGGGCGATAAACACCAAACTTTCCATTTCCAAGAGCATCCAAAAAATTTATCAATTTCGAGTTGATTCTAAGGGAAAAGTGGATGTTTCTGTCGAATTTGGTAAATCGTTTGCTCATCCCTTGACAAAGTGGAGTTTTGATGTTGATGACTTTTTTGGATATGTGGCAAGCACGCACTTGTAGAAGGGGGTTTCGGACCTATTAGTTCCATCAGCCTTGTCAGGCCCTGGTTTGATGGTGACAAAAATCTGTGCTTGGATCACTTGCACAAATCACTTTTTGAATTAATTTGTGTTAGAACGTAGTTTCTTTTTCTACATACAAGAAAAGAAACCTGATGGGTTGCAAGTGGAATTATAATAAAATTAAATAAAACAATTTCGAAATATTTTTCATCGCTTTTTCGAAAAGAAATATTTTTGTAGTATCAGAGGCCCACCCTGGAATTTGCCTAGAACTTTAGCAATGTGGAACACGTAACTCAGCCCCGTGATGATCATTTAATCAGTTTAAGGTATTTTCGTGAAAAGATAGGCCGGCAGGTATGTTGAGAATGCTGAACGGTAAATAAATAGGTGGAATGCGGTTCGAAGCTCGTTGGCCGTTCAAACGTTTGGTTTCGTGGCAAGGCTGTCTTGTGAAGAGATCAGTGGCGTTCCTCCGGTTTAATTTTGCCTAAACCGAAAATCCGTCTTTTGCCATCAAAATGTGCATTTTTCAAAGAATTAAATCAAATCTATCGGGCAACGACACGGATTATGGGGAACGAACGAACGAACGAAATCGGAACGATCGCTAAACGTAGAGAATTGTAAAAAAACGAGCTAAAACAGTCATTGGAAGCGTCATTAGATGAGAAACGTTTTTCGGTCGTATCAGATTTTTAGGCCTTGAAACTTACCAATTTAAGATAACATCTAATGGAGGAAAAATACGAATACTAAACGGAAAATCCTCACAATTGTTTCACTTGAAACGATAATATTAACATTGGGTTGAATCATAATTCTATGCATACATATATTTCTGAACTACTTAATTCGGTAAAAGATGGAAAATCCCATCTCCTCAGGTCTGTTTATGTGGTTCAGAAGCCTAACAATAGTTAGTACATTTGCGAATTTTTCGTCATTCCTAGTAGTTAAGCTGGAAACATTCATTAAGCTGGTGGAATTAGATGCAGACGTTCAAAGGGCAAATTAGTTTAAAAGGGGGTGAAAAATCGATAGTGCCGAATCCCCGAGCGAAAAGCATTTTGGCTGCAATTCCTCGTAAAAAAAACTGTGGAAGCTCCGAATGAGACCAAGAAACTGAACACAGATACTTACATTTTGCAAGCTACACACTAAACGGAGTTACAACAGAAAACCAACATGGACGAAAGCGTATTGATTTTTTCCGTGGCGCACTTAAGCAACATTTGCTGTATGAATAAATGAATGAGAGGAAAACTAGTCGGCGCTTTTGATAAATAATGATCAGATGCGTCACCTATTCGAAAAGCGTTCCGGCGTAAAAACACTCAACAAACGAATGTTTTCCATTCAATGTCATTCGCTGAACACGGAAAATCGATAAAAAATTTTCCAGCCAACTTACTTTGCGCATTGAAGCAACCCAAAGCCTGATGATGGCGACGCTGAGGTCCGGATGGACGAAACGCCGTGGGATAATGTCGGTTCACAAACGGAAAGTAAACAGAAAAACACCAATCAGATGCAATACCGTCGAATGAGCGTGAGAAACTGAACGAAGTTCGACATGTCACAGGACGCTCCAATGCATAGGAGCGAAAACTGAATTTGAATTGGTTAGTGATCCTTTGGCTCTCTCTTTTCAGTTCGCGTAAGCGCACGAACTGGACGCATTCGACTCTTTTAGCTCTACCACCTCTACAGTGTGAGTCAATGAAATGTTTCGTTCAATTCTTGCAAAGATACAAGAAAAACCCGCGAACATACCAGTACTACCGGATTTTGACCAAGTGAATTATCCAATTATAAAAATTTAGAAATCAGGATCTTCAGCTTGCCTAAAAACTTTTGTCCAGTAGAAGGCAGTTTTTTTCGCCTTGAAGAAACAAATCAAAAATCTAAAGTTTTCGCCCACTAGAAAAGTTCAGCAAAAATTGTAATTGATAGTTAATCAGGGTAAACTTCCTTCAGTTCTACATCATGTTTAATACCAATTTAATTAAACAAAAATCTCTTCAACCTCCAGTTGAAAGTTGTCACTGGGCCACCCTGTATGTGTTAACATGCTGTGTATGAGTGTGTGTACGTATTTAGAACGTAAACAATGCACTGGAAATGTACAGTATTCGTTAATGGATTCACTGGAAAAAATATATTATTATCGAGTATAGTTCCATAAAATAATGTCAAATTTCTTCTGCATGTTCTTTTCTTTTGCAATTTTATTTGTAATTAGCAGTTTTTGGCGGCACAATTTCACCTCATTTAGTGTGTGTTTAATAAAGTGTTGTTTCAATTGTTCAATTTGTCACGATTTGTTTAAAACTTGTCATAATTTTTCGTAATCGAATATTTTCTTATTTCATAGTGTTGCTATTTACGTGGAATAATTTCCAAATTTGTCATTTTTAATAGGAAATTTGCTCTTTGACTTCATTGGTTTTCCATTTGTCAGTTTCAAGTTATCTCCGCTTTGACTTAGAATACTTTGTAATTATGAAAAATTTTCAAAATTTGAAGTAAAAAGGGCAATTTTTCTTTTCGAATGCTTAAGTATTTCAATTAGCTACCAATCAAATATGGGACCATTTCAAAATAATACTTAATAAGGAAAAACGAATGACGCCAATTTTGAATCATCCTGTGTAAAGCAAATTGTGTGTTTTTTTTTAAACATTTAAAAATTGATTAAGCCCAGTTGAAGCAGCCAAAAATTGATGGAGGAGATGTGGCTTAAATTGCACAATAATTTGCAGTAGGCGTGTTTCTTCTTCTATTTTTGACAATTTTTTCAAATAATTGTTGGCAATTTTGAATGGAGATGAACAGTTGATATTAACGCATTTTCATAGAGGAACTGTTGCCCTATTTGTGCAAATAATTTGAAAGTTTGTCAGATTTGTTGTCGATTTTTTAAGTAGGAAGCCTTCTGTTCGAAGCAGATTTTCTCACGATTAAAAAAATGGTTTCCAAATTTCAGATGGAAATGGAAAATTGTTGTTATGGCCCTTTTTAAAGGGAATGTGGCTCTAGTCGCACAATAAATCGCAAAGTCGATATATTTTTTCTCAGGTTTTGACAAGTTTTTAAATACGAATCTTGTTCTGTACGAAGCAAATTTTGTCATGATGTAACTAAAAAATGGTTTCTAAATTTGAGGTGGAAATGGACATTTAACATTAACGTTATTTTATTAAGGAAATGTGGCTCTATTCGCACAATAATTTGTAAGGTCGACATATTTTTGGTCTATTATTGACAGTTTTTTCAAAGCACAACTTGCTCTCCACAAACTAAATTGTGGTTTACAATTTTTTCCAACCATTGTTAACACATTTGGGGTTGAGATCGAAAGTCGATCTTAATGTTTTTTCATAGAGAAAGTCTCGCTCTATTCGCACAATAATTTGCGAAGTCGGCAATATTTATTTTTTAGTTCTTGCCGATTTTTAATGCGAAAATTGTTCGCTTAGGGCTAATTGTGTTTTCCATTTTTTTGAAATTGTTGGCAAATTTGGGATGGAGATGCAGAGGTAACATCGATGCGATTTCATTGAGAAAGTGTTGTTCTATTCGTGCAATAATTTGAAAATTTCTTATATTTTTGTGAATTTTTTCAATAAGAATTGTTCTGTTATAAGCAAATTGGGTAGCGATTACAATTTTTTTTTCAATTTTGGGAAGGAGATGCAACATTCAAATTAAAGCCATTTCAAAGAGGAAATGTGATTCTATTCGCACAATAATTTCCAGTCGGCATTCTGTGTCACGGTTTTTAAAAAAAATGTTTTCAAATTTGAGACAAAGATAGAGAGTTGACATTAGCTCAATTTCATAGAGGAAATTTGGCAATAATTGCGCAATAACTTGCAGTCAAAATATTTTTTCTGAATTTTTGGGCATTTTTTTAATAGAAAACTTGTTCTCTAAAAGCAAACTGTGTCACGATGTTTTAAAAAAATTGTTTGCAAATTTCGGATTGAAAAGCAAAGTCGATGTTAACGTTTTTTCATAGAGGAAAGGTTGCTCTATTCGCGCAATAATTTGCAAAATCGATATACTTTTTGTAAATTTTTGTCAATTTTTCATGCGAAAATTGTTGCTCTGTGTGAAAAAATTGCTCTGTGGATTGCGTATTACTATTTTTTCAACAAATTGCTTGCAAATTTGGGATCGAAATGAAGAGTTGGCATTCTGATAAAGTCTCTATTCATGCAATCATTTGTACATGTTTGGGAATTTTTCAATAAGAAACTTGTTCTGTAGTAAGCAAATTGTGTCACGATTTTTTCAAAACAAATTATTTTAATTTTGGGATGCCGATGGATAGTTGAATATAACGCCGTTTAATAGAGAAGATGTCACTCTAATCGAATAATAATTCTAAAAATCGTCCTATTTTTTGCAAGTTTCTGGCGATTTTTTAATGCAAAACTTGTTCTCTCAAACCGACTGTAAAGATTTTTTCAAAAAATTGTTGGCAAATTTGAGAAGGAGATGGAGGGTTGATATTAACGCCTTTTGATCAAGGAAATGTTACTCTATTTGTGCATTAATTTGCAAAATTCTGATAATTTTTCTAAATTTTTGGTGATTTTTTTAACACGAGACTTGTTCTGCATAATTTTTTCTAATGATGGGGATGAAACGTTGATATTAACTAGAGATGGGAGAAAAACATCGATGCTTTGCAAACATCGATGTAATTCGTTCGATGTTCGATATTTTTACCATCGATGATGGAAATTTGAGACATCGATAAAACATCGATGTTAGATTCGGAAATGAAAACATCGGACATTTGATGTTGCTACTAGATAGAAACATTTTCTGCGAAGTCTTTGATAGTTGCAACCGAAAAAAGCCTCTTTTTGCAGTCAGTTGATCGAAAAATGTGGCAACTATATGTTGAATAAATTAAGTCGATTATTTAATGTCATAGTAGTAGTAATAATAGTAGTAGTAATAAATTAATCAATTTGAAATTTGTATGCAACGGCAAACTATCAGAACATCGATGTTGTCAAACATCGATGTTCTGCCTTCGATGTGTCCCTAAGATCGAGTTTACCTTTCGATGTCAACATCGATGGCTACCATTGATGTTATAGGATCGATGTCCCACCCAATATTAACTCAATTTTCATACAAAATGTCGTTTTGTCACTACAACAATCGATTGGCAGTAAAACTGACAATTTTTTGTAAATTTTCAGCTGTTTTTTTGTTGCGAAACTTCTATACTAAGCAAATTGTGAAACGACTTAAAAAAAATCCAAATTTGGGGTGAAGATAGTTGATATATAGATAGATATATAGATATATAGATATAGATAGATATTCTAAATAAAGTTGATACCTATTACCGTTTAGTAAACAGACAAAACGTGGCTCTAATCGAATAAAATTTTGAAAAATCGACATATTTTTTGAAAATTTTATACCATTCTCTAACGGCAAATTAAGCATCAAGATTTTTTCAAAAAATATCCGCAAATTTGGGATGAACATGAGACGTTGATGTTAACGTTATTTCATAGAAGTGTTGCTCTATTTGTGGGATACTTGGCAAATTTGATGCACTTTTGATAAATTTGTTGTGATTTTTTAAATGCAAGTTTTGATCTCAAAACAAACTGCACCAAACGTCACGTTGGTTTAGGCCAGAAACCAGCAAATTTTATTTGGAGACAAGGAATTGATATCCACATAAATTATTAGGGAAAATATCGCACAATTCAAATTAATTTGCAAAGTTGTGACCATTTTTGGAGAATTTTTAAATTCCCAAAATAGTAGCAAATTAGTTTTGGATATTTAAACAAAACATTTCAGGATTGCTGGATAAGAAGTATACTCCGAATTCACCAGATTTAAACCCGATGGATTTTTTCCTTTGTGATCCAATGTGATTTTTCGATCAATCATTCTGAGCAACATTTACAGGAAGCTCGGCAAAGATACTTTACATGTCATTTTGTCACTTTTCACGGTTTAATTTGCTTTCTTGTCCTCGATACAAATTAATACTGCAGAGGAATTTTAATTGTTGCCGCAATTCGACATTTTAATCCCTTTGGATTGGTTTATCAGTCGATTAGATTAGATTTATCGCTACTCTTTAGAGATTAATTGTTTTCTAAATCAAAAATCAACAACAAAACTTGACTCAAAAACAACTTTTCCATTTTCGCATTTCCAACAGATGAATTAAAAATTAATCCTCTATTTGTGTTCTTCCATATGCTTTGGTAATTATCAATTTGATTAAGTCGCAAATTACTCAATGAACAAGTCAGTTGAAAGTGAATGTTTTGTAAATAAAAACAGCTTAAGAAGCTTGTCGAAGACACACTTAATGATATAAGTAATAGGTATAATTTAATTTGAAAATTCTTACTTTTAATGTAGTTCTTGATTAATTCTCTTCCTTAGCGAAGAAGAAAATCCTCACTCTCTAAATGTGCAATTTCCTGTAGTCTATTCCAGTTTTCGCGCTCTGCAATTTCACAATTCGCGCACTTTTCTTTATCTTTTCTGCCCTGTTGAAGCACGTCCCAACGACCGTTGAAACCTAATTGACTGATTAAAGAGAGGAAAATATTTATAAAGCAAAACGTAAAAAATTGATAAGGATTATCAAAAATTGATTAACATTAACTAATGAGCAAGTCGGGGTACATTTTAAATTGGCACTTGGATTCGCGACAAGAAGTCGACGAAATTCGGTTCAGTTTATACATGCGGTCATCGATGGTTACTAGCCCGGTCAATGAGTTTAAAACATTCGAAAATTAAGGATAAATTTCACATTTAAACGACAGTGAAATTTTTGAAAATATTTCGCGTGTGTTTTGAAATAAATTGGAGAAGGTTTTTTGACCAGATGATCTAATGGAGGATCCGCTGCTGGCTGTTAAAACGGCCAAAAATCTGTGATTGGTGTGCAAGAGTACTGGGAAGTAAAGTAAATAGGGAGTTTTTAGGAGTTTATTTGTTCTAGTTGCGATACCTTGATTTTCCAAAAGGCTTTTTTCTTCATACCAGTAGAACTTTCCGTAGTCTAGTATCTCAAGTACAACACAATATGTATTTGGTCACTACAAACAAGTCTGCGTCGTAATGTTTTTTTTTAAATTTAGAATTGGTGTTTAATAATAATAAAAAATGACGTAACCATGCGGCAACCTTGTTTGCGAATTTAAAGAACAATCGTTGGACCGAATCTGGTTGACCCTGTCCTTCCCCCCGCAGCCTCCCAGCCCCCCTCTGAAAAATGGATTGTATCGAAAAACCGCTTTATTTTAGGTGCTTTAACCAGTGTCGTGCGATGTACATTATTAACAATTAAGTTCCAATAATTCACGAATGGACACAATCGCGCGTACTGGTTTCGATTTTGTTTTTATCAATAAAGCACCTTATCTCGGCGCCACAAAGTTTGATATTTACAGCTGCGTGTTTCTAGTTGCTAGTCCTCTATATGTAATTGAGGATTTGTGCGTAACCATACAGAATGACAATTTGAAAATTCCTAATTATTATATCTGAGAAACTATCAAAGATAGTCTTCAAATGGAAATTTCTGTCGAGCAATACCGTTTCCTTGGATAATTGCTCAATTTAGCCAGGGTGAGTTCTAAAAACCCCAAGTTCTGGGTCTGGGAGGAAAAAATCAAGTGGCGTTAAGTCGGGGATTCGTGGTGGCCACTGAACAGAGTCTGGCCTCGCAGTGCTTTGCATAATGTGGATCTGAATCCTCACTCCTAATTCAAGCAAGTCACAAGTCTTCGAGGTTTTTGAAAGAAGAGTTTGGAAAGTCTTTGATCAAAATCCTTCAATATAATGTTGTTGAGTTGAGGTGGCCGAGCGCTGACGGGACGTTTCTCAAGTGCATGCAGTTGGTTTTTATTCTAAAAAATGGTTCAGTGTTACAGAAATGATTCTGAATGATCTGTTTTGTTTCTCAAGTTGCACATTGAAAATATGTTTCCCAACACTTGTTAAATGAAACTTGCGAAATTTACAACAATAGGCCCCATGCTGAAATGATACAGAATATCGTAAATCTGATGCAAACGAAAAGCTGATGAAGGTTTACTATTTGCACATCACTTTATTGTCTGGAGTGAATTGATATCAACTGCCTGAACAAAGACCCGCAAATTCACATTTTTCTGTAGATCTTATCTTCTTAACCTCGATGTGATGTGCCATTGATAATGTCCATTTGATCAACAAAAGCGTCGGATTCTAGTTAGAAAACGTGTACTTTTTTATCCTTAATGTTTTTCTACTTAGGGTGCCAGATAATTTCCAGACTTTTGTACCTATGGGAACATCCTAGAATTATTTTTGAATGCCACATTTGTCAAAAAACTTCTCAGATGTGGCTCTGATAAAATCAGCAGAAAAATTCGAAAACGTATGGATTATTTGCGATTCTCGATATGGATTGACGTGGAGAATTGATAATATAATTATAATAAAATAATCGTGAAATAATCGCCTCAAGTTGAAATTGCAGTGCTTTTAAATCTAGTTTATTTATGTTTGGTTTTAGTCTATCACCGTGTTTTACGTCTGAAAATAAGAAAAGAAGTTCATATAAACATAATGTTAGAAACGCTTCGTTTTCAAAATGCCGGGTGCCAAGTTTGAAAAAAAAGAAAAACCCTTTTTCCTAGAATTAATCACATATTTTATTCATACATTATTGAAGATGCCAACTCACTGTTACAGTCTGTAAAGGAACACACTTAAAGGAACACACTTGTAGTTGTCTCATCTACGTTTATTCTTACTCTGATCCTTTTTGGATCCGCGGTGCACCACATTACATTATGCTTGCTTGCATTAATGGTACTTAATGGGGTTAACATGTCAGCAAATATTAATTAACTATTAACCAATATGTTCAATGCTTATAATATTCGTAAATTGATCTCAGCCTAAATTAATAATAGGAGTATGCACTTTTGTGTATATTTCGTAACACGTTAGAGTTACACTACAAGTCTAAAGGGTGTTTTATTTGGTAGGATACTAGGTAACTCAGTAAATTTTAAGGAGCTGGCGCACTGCTGCGCAAATGGCTTGGTGCGCCAACGCAACGCACCGGCACAGTAACTCAGTTTCGTTGCTGGGAAAATGTTGTTAACCTTTTTTTAAATGATAAAATTCCAGTCTCTGGTCTCGTAAAGCTTTGATCCACTTTCAAAAATTAGTTATAACTCATCTGTTAATGAGTTATAACTCATGAACTCAGAGTGTGGCACACTCAGAAGCGCAAATCGACACAGTGTTACCCAGGCCTATACAGCACTGAAATCGGACAGATTTTCCTTCAAATTCAAATTGCCTTCAATTTAGAAACTTTAAATTTATTTTGTATCTGACATAGTTTGCGAGTTGTTGTCGAAAGTATCAGAAAAATATACGATTTTTAAAATGAAAAGCTTGCGTACTTATGTGTATTGACTTTTTTTCATATCTTTGGACGTAAAGCACGTGGTATACATCTATTTTAAATGCGTCCAATTTTTCACTCAGGTTGTTTCATTCTCTTGTTAATATCATAATCTTGTTAGCATTAAAGATCATTTTTATTAAAAGGTATTGTATAAAACTAACGAACGACTATCAAATTTTTCCTTACCTTTATAGATTAATTTTGAAATCCCTCTCCTGCGTCATGAATCATTTGTTGAAGATAATAACGTGAATCCCTAATGACGCCAGAACGATATTAAACTCACTTGAAATCACAAAAATAGTATTTAATAATAAGGAAAGAAAGTATGTATTTAAGCTTCAAAAAATTCGCTTTTAGTCAAAATATTTTAGTAATAAAGCAATTTAAAACTCGATTCAAATGGATAAATAATCAATCAAAAACTACAATAATAAAGCGCATTACAAAACGGACAATGATGACAGAGTATAATTCAAAAACACCTCAAACAAACATAGTCAATACAGTAAAGGAAAAATCGCCATTTATTTGAAAATTTCGACACTTTTTATAGATTAGACTGTAGGGTTTGCAAGGTTCGCTTTTTTCGACTTTTCCAGAAACTGCTATATTTCAGTATGTATTTCTTTATTTTTTAGCGTTTTACAATTCGCTCATGGTTCTAGAAGTTACAAAATCTCCGTAAATCCATGCAATAACATGAATTTATGTTGATAAACTAGCATTTTTTATAAACGAGCAAGGAAATATAAAATTAAATACAGTGATTTCAAGAAAAGTAGCGGAAAAAGTGAACCTAGGGTGTTTGAAATAGGCAAGTTCAGATTTTGAGGTGCGCCAACCGCAGGCACCCCCAGGACCGGTTTCCAGCCTATTCGCTCTCATCAGCTGAATTTAGCCTGAAATTAGCGATTCCGAAACCAGCACTTTATCTTGAGAATGTATTTACATCGGCGAGGAAACTAGTTCAACAATCAAACCCAGCTGATGAGAGCTAACAGGCTCTTAACCGGCCCTGGGGGTGCCTGAGGTTGACGCACATCGAAATCTGGACTTGCCTATTGCAAAAGCTCATGACGGTTCTGCTGATGCCGAAAGCTTTTCATTGTTCCAGAGTGTTTAATTAAACGACATTTTCTACAATACAAAAAATATTTATATTGACTATTTGCTTGATTGTGCTTTTTTAATGTAGGATTTTTATCGTAGTTGTTTTTTTTTATTAATTCCCTACCTTAGTCCAGTTTGGAATCGGTTTATTACTGGAAGTGTATTTGAATGAAGTTTTTCAATTTTTTTTTAACCATTTGGGGATATTGTAACAGAGCAAGAATTAACTGTTGTAGTTTGGGTTAGTTTGGGTTTGGGTGTATACAATTTTTGAACTGTTTTCTTTACAGCTTTTTGCATGTTTATCAGCTTGCTTTTTTGTTCCTTTAGAAGTGTTCCAATAATTTAAAAGAAACTCATGTCACTCCGACTACCAAGCCATTATTTTTTCTCGCCAAAAGCAACTGAAATATTTTTATATTTGTTAAGACATTACAACAGAACTACAATAATAAAGTACATAAAAAACTGCACAGTAACGGCAGGGAGTAATAAAGAAGACAGTGAAATTAATTAAAATTATAGTACAGTAAAAAATGCTATTTAATTGAACACTTTGACATTTTTTATTTATAAATTAGACTTTGTAGTTTGCAAGTTTGACTTTTTTAGCTTCCCGTACCCATCAAATAATTTATCATTGAATTTTCCAGAAATCACAGTTCGTAATTTTGTATTTCCTTGTTTTTTAGTGTTTTAGAATTTCTTGTATTGTTTCAAAAGTTGTGAATTTAAGTTTATGACGGTGAATCAACGCAATAACATTGGTTTATCGTATATAAATATAAGATAATAAAACGCGGTTAAAAGTAGTGCAAAAAGTGAAACTTGCACATTCTAGGAAATGTTTTAATTTATATTTTTTGCTTTATTATATTGACTATATTTGTTTTAATTAATTAATTTACTTAATTATTAATTATTAATTATTAATAAATTAAAACTTATTTATTAATAAAACTAATTTTATAAATTAGATTTAAATTGGTTTGTTACTAAAACTGTATTGGAACGGTTTTCCACTTTGATCATTATTTTCAACCATTTGAAGAAATTTTTTACATATAATTAGTTTACAATTATACAGTTTTGAATTGTTTTCTTTACATGTTTTTGATGTTTATCAGCTTGCTGTTGTTTCGTTTTCCTCCATTAGAAAAGTTTCGATAGTAAAAAAATATCCGTGCAAAAATTCAAAAATGCAAATGACTATTGAAAGCTAAAAGAGCTAAGAGTAAGAAAACAATAATTCAGTGAAAAATTGCTATTTTACATCTTGTTCAGGGCTGAACTGAGAAACTAATTATGTTTAAAATCATTAAGGTTTTTGAGCGTTTAAACGTTTAGCAATATTAGAAGCTCCTGAGTTTCTCCTGTAAACCAACTGAAATTTGTTAATATTTAATAAGAGATTTAGACGTTTCAGTAGTTTTAATCATTGCAATTTCAATGGTTTTTCTTCAAGCCATAGATCATGTAGGATTTTTTAGCTTTCCGATTGAGCTTAAGCTAAAAAAACCAAATTGCAATAGGTATTCATGCTTTCCTAGATCCATTTCTTTATGCTGAATAGAAGAAAACGTGTACATTTTGGTC